ACAGGTATTTTACTGCAGTTATGACGCTAATTTTTAATGAGGAAACGGTGAAAGTGTGTTACCTGGTCTTTCTGGGCTCTCATTGCATCAATCTGAGGCTCACTGTACTGTGGGTCTTTGGCTGGATCCTTTAGTGCTCTCTGCTCACTGTAGCTCTGTGAAAACAGTAACTCCACTGTATTCAGAGCATTTGGGTTCTTTAACATTACCTGAAATATAAAGCTGAGCAGCTACCTTGCTGGGAAAGACTCGCTCATACACCTTCTTCCACAGATCCATTGGGTTTTTCGCATTTAGAGATGCAATGTCCACGTGAGTCATAGGAGGCGCCCCTGCATATCAGGGAACCTTTTTTCAGACAAATTATCTCATTATCCTGCTTATGAAAACAAACGATACAGGTGTTTGCTAAAATACAGGTAACTATGCTCACTAAAAAAAACAAGCTGAAGGTTTAAAGCTCTTAATTCTGTTAAGTAAGATGATTTCTTGCGTACAGTGAATGAAAAAAATAACGTTTGAAATCATAATATCACGTCTCACTAATGAGAAAACATTTTTAATACAAAATTGCAGGCTTAATATAAGCATACCTAAACCTGCTTCAATGTTACTATTTTCTGATATGCTTTATGCACTAGTGGTCTTCAATGTTGATTATTTCTGGACAGAAGACAAAGGTCAAAGGGCCAACACTCCAAACGGTGAGAGCTGCATCGAGGACCCAGGCCTCCGACACATGGGCCTCACGGTTAACCCCCTGCACCACTGCCACTCAAAGGGTTACTTTTTTTTTTAAAGTACTTTTAGTCTGAAAAATATGCTTGATTGAAATTAAAGAGTTAGATTTTGAGGGAATACCTGTAACAATATTTCATAAACTGTCAGCATATTGTTGCCTTGAATTCTAAAATCAGTGTTTTCTATTGAGGTTTTATGTGATTAACCAACTTTCTTTCCTCTAAATGTTCGCTGTCAATGAGAGGAAGGAACAGCATATACACTCCTATGACTCTTCTAACTTTACACATCTAGAGACTGAAGTATTCCCCCATTGTTTTCTTCTGCAAAATAAGCCTCTATGAATGACAACATTTAGGTCCTAGCACAGATTTTCTTTGGATTTATGGCTGGACTTTCTCTGCGCCTTTCTGACTAATAGATCTGTGCTGATCTAATCCATTCCAGTGTAACTGTCTTTGTATCTTTATGGTTTTAAATGTGACTGAAAAGTGAACCTCTTCCCCAAATTTAGCTCCAGCATTCTGCTGCTTGATGGCATATTCTGGGTGATGTAATTTTACCTCAAGTTTTGCTTGTTAAACTTAAACTTTATGATCAGTTCAGCTCCTCCAATAGTTTCTACTCTGAGTTCAGCTATCCTTGCACCGTTTGCCTTGTGGGGACAGGCCTGCCTAGAGCTGATCTATATAGACTTTAACACATAGAGCTGTTCTGACCTGCAGATGTTTACCTGTAAAGCCATCAAATATTTACCTTTTATAGCCCCCCCCTGTACTAAATGCTTAACAACATGTTACACCTCATATATTGACGGCTGAATTTTTGTTTAACAAACTGCCAGGTTCTTTTTTTTTTTTTTTTAACAAAAGATTTTATATTTCATGATTTCTGTTAGTAGTCTGTCTCTAGATGATTATTTTCTATAATAAATATATTATGAACATTTTCAAGCTTAAATCTTTTGCATTGATTTCGATGAACCTCCGGCTGTAGTCATCTGAAAATGATGTTGGATCTTTTAGACTAGATACCTTTTAGTACCTAATAATCAGATATTTAGTAGAAAGTAACATGCTCTCCAAAAATAATAAATAATATAACCAACACCAGAAAATACATTCAAATTTTTACTTTACATTAAAAGCTATAAAAAAGTCCAGTTATCTGAGCTTTCATCCCATAGAGATAGAGCTTGTTGCTTTATCATCCTCTTTGTAATACTATCATGATGTCATGACTTTCTTCTATTCTTTATAACCATTATTATTATTTATTATCTATTGATGTTTATTTTCCATGACATGATGGACAAAGTTCAAACAGCAAAGTAAAGTGAACAGAATGCTCACTTTGTGACTGAAAAGTAAGCATCCACACAGCATTCTGACATATTCTGGTTGATGTTATTTTCCCTCAAGATTTGCTCTTTAAACTTAAACTCTTCCAGCAGTTCAGCTCTTCCAATAGCTGTTACAAGTTTTCAGCCCCCTTAAACTTCTTGAACTTTTGCCAAATTTCCGGCTTCAAACATAAAGATCTAAAATTTATTTCTTTTTTTTGGTGAAGAATCAACAACAAGTGAGACACAGTCATGAAGTGGAAATAAATGTACTGGATATTTCACACCTCCAAGATGCCCATGATCACTCTGGATAAACTGCAGAGATCTACAGCTGAGATGGGAGACTCTGTCCATAGGACAACAATCAGTCGTATACTACAGAAATCTGGCCTTTATGGGAAAAAGCCATTTCTTTAAAATATCTACAAAAAGTATTGTTTAGAGTTTGCCACCAGCCATCTGGGAGCTCTGGTCAGATGAAACCAAAATCTAACTTTTTTGCACCAATGCAAAATGTTATGTTTGCCTTAAAAGTAACACAGCTAGTTACCCTGAACACACCATACCCTCTGTCAAACACGGTGGTGGCAGCATCATGGTTTGGGCCTGCTTTTCTTCAGCAGGGACAGGGAAGGTGGATGGAGCATAATACAATACCATTCTGGAAGAAAACCTGTTGGAGTCTGCAAAAGACCAGAGACTGGGACAGAAATTTGTTTTCCAACAAGAAAATGATCCAAAACATAAAGCTAAATCTACATTAGAATGGTTCACATATACTGTATACATATCCAGGTGTTAGATTGGCCAAATCAAAGTCCAGACCTTCATCTAGCAGAGAATGTGGAAAGAACTGAAAACTGCTGCTCACAAACGCAAAGAAGAAAAGGTAAAAATTTCAGTTTTGCAACTTGCAGTTCTAATCACAGCTAAAGGCGTCACTACAGTATTAACTCAAGGAGGCTGAATTATGTAACATTTATTTATTAACATTTTTGTACACCCATTTTCCATTTGTTAAAGAAGTCTAAAATATCCAATAATTTTTTTTTAACTTCATGATTGTGTCCCACTAGTGGTTGATTCTTCACAAAAAAAAAAAAAAAAAATACAATTTTATATCTTTATGTTTGAAGCCTGAAATGTGGCAAAAGGTCCAAAAGTTCAAAGAGAGTGAATATTTTCACAAAGCCACTATACATTAAAGCACAATTAGAGAGGCTGTAGTCCACATTTTATCTGCAATCTCTATGGATTGTTTTTTTCAGGGTCACATTTCTTGGAAAATTCATTTGATGTTTTTTTTTCTACCTAGAATACTCTTTACTATCAGTATTCACTTTAAAGCAGCCCATTTATCATGGAAGTGATCAGTTCAAGGTTACACCCCAGTAAGGTTCAAACTTAAGATCATTTTCTTAAATCATTTCTCTCATAAAAAAATTTTCATTTTAGTTTTCATTTACTTTTCTAAACTATATATATCATTTCAACTTTTTTTTAATTTTCTGACACCATGCTGCTGCAAACATTTCTGTATTTTAGTGAAACTTTATATGTAAGAACCAGAGGATGCATTTCAGAGTTTTTAGTTATGCTTATATGTCAGCAATCTTCACTCTAACATTGTAGAAGTCACCTAAAGTATAAATCTGTGTGCCATTATTCATTGGTATAAATCCAGCTGATGTTTGATAGCCTCAGAGGTTCAGTAGGGAGCAAACAATGGACAAGAGCAACGAGACGTTAGAAACAGGAGGAGAGATCTCTACAGAGCTCTGAAGCTACGATGAAACAATCAGGCAGCAACTGGTCACACATTCTTTAAAGCTGTCCTTTAGTAAGGAGGGTTTAGAAGAAATCTGCATGAAAAAATATTTATAATTATATTAGATCAATTATATTATAATTAATAATTTGTAATATTTATTTAAGGGACACAACAAAGGGGGGAAAAAATGTTGTGGTTGGGTGAGACTGAAATGGAATCTGTATGTGATGGAAACGAACCCTACTGAACGCATCGTTCCTACAGAGCGGTGGCAGCATCCTGCTGTGGAAATGCTTTTCCTCAGCAAAAGGGAAAGAGGCTGGAAGAACTTGATGGATTTAACCAAAAAAGAAAAGCAATATTTGCAGAAGAAAAACCTTTTTAAGCTCTATTGTGAATGTATATAAAGATCCAACTTAGGTATGCATGTGTAGTTAAGTAACTCTTGAGTCAAATTTTTTAAGAGATTACATGATTTTTAAAAAGCACAGCAACCTTTTGGACACTGCATTCTGGCACCAACTAATAAAATGTAGTCTTTGGACTCTGCTGCACATGATGGTAAGATTTTTTGTATGCTTCCTGACTCGATCATAAACAAACAGTGATCCTATACTATATGTTGTTTCTGAGGTTTTGAAAGCACACATCGTGTCCTGCTATTGATAAGGCTTAAGCCTGTGTTATACAGTTCAGATGCAAACATTTCTTTGCATGACTGAATGTTTTAAGCCGGCTGTGCCCCTCCTCTCTGCCTGTCATTAAACTCCCGCCTCAGATACTTTGGCTTCGTGTTAAGTTGTTGGCGCTGTCAAAGGGCAGGCCTTAGACAACACAAATTGCCCTTTTTCAGAGAAGATTGTTGGATGATGTCAGAGGGTTTGGCCCCTGGAGCTCATTAGGAGGATGCTTATTAAAATACAGAAGTAAATCTTTCATCTTTAGCTTCTAATGGGAATCAGAAAACAACAAAAATACACACACACACACTACAGTATACTTTAGCAATTTGATTTCACTTTTAATTTGGAACAATTTAGCCTTTGCACCAGTGCAAAAACATACACATTACATAACTATACAACAAGTACAACAACAAGTTTGATCATTTTTTTCCTTAAGAGTGACTTTCTAAATCTGCACTAGACATTTCAAGTTTTATTGCTCTACAATGTGAAACAGTTTGTGACAGTAGGCTTAGAACCCTCCCATAAACAACCAAAAACAAACAAAAAAATTGTTGGGAGGGAAAAGCGGCTCAAAACTGAAGAAACTGAAGCCATAGATGGAAATCTGCTGACGTAGCACACTAAAAGGAAACTAAAATAATCACTTGATGCTGTTGCAGTACTCTGCTGCCATCCAGCAGCAAACAGAGGTACAGGAACAACTGCTAGAAATACAAACAGATGTGGCTCAACTACAGCCTGATTAACCAAACCTAATGCAATTATAACAGATCATGTACTCAGTCAGATCATTTGTTTTTATTTCCTCAACTTCAACAACTAAAACATTTAACAAAAGCTGTATTATCTAGATTTTCTGTGTCGAACCAGTCGACCATCTGGGATTCAGTTTTCACCAGTCCTGACTGGATTTCTGCTTGATGAATTTAAGGCAGAGGTAATAAAGCACCATAAAGCCGAAGCAAACCGCCACCAGCACCAGAAAGCAGGAGAACAGAGGGTACTGGTTCAGTTTCATGGCCTCCACCACCTGTAAGATGAACACATTGCTTATTGTGTGTGAATGTATAACAGCAGGCCTTAGAAGCACAGTTTGAAGGCAGGCTCACATGAATGCCGTCCACGTTGAAGGTGAGGTTTCCAATGGTGACGGGGTACTTATTGTCCCTGAACTGCACCTGCAGCATGCCGTCGAAGCCCCAACGCATGAAGGAGGCATAAGAGAGCCACGAGGCCACTGGAGAGGAGAAACAAACACAAACCCCTGCTGTTATCCCACACATTTACCAAACCAACATTTACCAAACATACATCCAGAAACAACCCTCTTTACCCAGCCACATGTTCTCCAGGCTGATGACGAAGCCTCCAGTCAGGTAGAAGACTGTGAACAAGGCGTTGCCCATGAAGGCAGAGGTCTGCAGGGTGGGCAGAGCGGCGGCAACAAACAAAGCCATGGCTCGGCTACCGTAAACCATCAGCCACACCAGCACAAAGAAGAGCAGGAACCGGTCTGCAGCCTCATTCAGCCCTGCTAACCAGTAGATGGGCAGACCATAGACCAGGGTGAACACACAGTGCTCTGGTAGCTCCCCAAGCACCTGAAGGACAGCAGAGTGACTGTATAGATGGATGCAGCACTCAGTACAGCACCTCTCATTTCACATTCCAGCACTGTTTATTACACTCATGGAGCAAGAGTGACCCCTGCAGGAGACGCAGCCCTGAGGTTTTACCTTGGCAAAGAAGTAGGAGGTGACAGAGTACATGCCGTCCTCCAGTTCGTGGTAGAGCATGGCCCTCTCTGTGTGACCTGCAGAGAACATCAGGCACTCAGGTTAAAGGTCACAGCTCACTCAGTGTTGATCTGGATCTAAACATGAATGATTCCCACCGTGTTTGCATAAATTTCGTCGTTCTGGAATAAGATACCATAAGAATCTGGTAATAGAGGTTCCTTATTCATATTGTTTTGTTGGCATTAAAACCAGTGAGAGATATTAAATGCACATTATTGATAGTTTATAAGTCAATCAATGATGATTATGTGTCTGTTTTTAAATTGAATCATTGAAGTGAAGGCGGATTTTCCCCCCACATAGGTTATTTGTGAGTAGGCATTTTAACGTGATCAATTTCTAGTTATGATAACAAACTTTAATTTATCGTCTGAGCTATAAATTACAATTAGTGGTGATTAAAAAATAAAAAGTAAATCTCCAAAAAGAGATGAATTAAGAATTTTTTTTATATATATTTTTCTTCTTTCATTTTTTTAAATAATTGGGTCTTAGAACATTTGGAGAATATGATTAAATGCAGTCTTAGAGAAACTTTTTTGAATGTCTATTTTTTTTCCAGTAGTTTCTGTGATTATGAGTATGCAGTCCAGCTGTACAGTTACCTAAGAACAATTTCAAAGAGTTAAAGAAGAGTGTTTGTATCACAATAGTAACACTGAATACTAGGTTCCAGTTATCCAACCATAATTGTGAGAGTGCTACAGATGTTTAGTCCAAAAACATTGTTTTATTTTCTAACTCTGAACTTTAAGCTGCAGTCCTTGGTTTATATTCCTTATACCCTGAATGTGACAGAGTGAAGAATTAGAGAAATACGCAAACAGGGAGGTCTTGGTTAATCTTTTATGCTGTTTTGAAATTGGACATAACTGTAGTTTTCTCAAACGGGCTGTTCTTCATCTAATGAGTGAAAATTCCTCTTTTTCACCTTTGGTGATCTATTTTGCTTTTATGTTATTTGGTCTTTTGAACGATTGGAAAATTAATGTTATTAGTTTCATTTTTGTTCTTTTAGAAAATCTTAATGGTTACTAATATTGTTCTAATATTAGCACTAATATTGTGCTTAGAAATGTGTAGTTAGTTTTGAGTTGGGACTTTGTTGGTGTTTTATTTTTATTATAGTTGATTAATTGCATCTAATTAACCATACTTTTTACTTAAGAATAACGAGAGGATTTTAACATAGACTCCAGTATGCATATATGTAGGCTGTCGCTTTTAGTTGTCATTCAATGCCTCAAGAAAATATACAAATATTTAAAGTTATTTTCAGAATGTTTAAGGGAAGGAGAAGAAAAAATGCCAAAAATATTAATATTTATTATATTATTATATTTATTTATTTATTATTTATTTAGCATTTTTTCTTATAACAAAAATTAAAAGAATGAAAATAGAAATGGAAGAAATTAAAAATAACATTAAAAAATTATTAAATTAACATCTAAATAAATAACCATTACATGCATCAATAAAACCAACAGTTTGAAGAAATGTGAATAAGTCAGTTTCAACTGAGGGATCAACATGCTCACATTTAGCTATGACGTCCAGCACCACAGCGAACGGCGTGAGGGCCCCGATCATGTAGAGGAGGGCCACCGTGTCTTGGATGTTCAGGCGCTCTTCGCCAGCCCCGTAATACAAAAAACCGACCAGCAGTGACATGAGCAGGGCTTCGAAGCCACGCACCAACAAGGAGACCAGGTCTCTGAAGTCATTGTACATGTGACGCCTGAGGGAGAGCAGAGTTTAGTGCTGGGCTGGCCCCTCAGGGCCTCTGGGACACATCCGTATCTGTTGCCTCACCTGATGAGGATGCTGAACTGCTGTAGTTCTCCTGGCAACTTGTTACTTTCTTTGGCGACAGTTATCACTTCCTCACTGCTTCTGCTTGGCTGCTGAAGGCTGGAGGGGGACGTCAAGGTGACAGAGTTATGTTGGAGCAGAGGGACATTAATCACATTTTCTAAAATCTTAAAACAATGGTGAATAAAGCAGGACCCCAGGAAGGGTTTAAGTTTCCCTCAGCCTAAAGTAAAAGAGTGCCTACCTCTCTATATGTGCTGCACTGTTTTCAGCTGGTTTCCACATGTGATCTTCAGTGTCTTGAACCATTTGCTTGAACTTCTCAGATAAAAGTCTGGCCCGCTCCAAACACTGGGCCTCAATCTCAGGACTGCGCCGGTCTATACTGATCAGATCAACTGGAAAAACCATATTGGAGAAACTTTTTATAACAAAATAATGTTTCAAGCTTTTAAAGTTGGTTTAAAGCCATTGGTTTAAAGCGTAACCACATTTCTGATGATTCATTTTCTTTAAAAATATCCAATGAAGTCATTTTTACACCTACCGTAGAAGTCAGAGGGATTGCAGTAACGTGGGCATGGGTAACCGAGAGCAGTGAAATAAGGAACCATGTCTCGAGCTGCTCCAAAGTAAGCAGCTGAGCCGGATGAAAGCAGCACCACCAGGTCAAAGAGCTGGAAGATGTCTGATCGAGGCTGGTGGACCGACAGCAGGATCAGGCGGTTCCCCTTGGCGAGGCGGGACAGGGTTATGACCAGGTTGTGGGCTGTGAAACTGTCCAGACCTGAGGTGGGTTCATCCAGGATTAAAATGCCTAAATGAGGAAAAAATGTATTTAATATTTGTAAAACAAAAAATACAGAAAAAAAGTGTCTCCATTTATTTTGCTCCTTTTTTGTTTCTTTGCCCAGGCTCCAGGAAGGGTCTTAAAGGGGCCGTAGCCTGAGGCTAAAACTCTGGAGCAATAAAATAGTTTGTAAAGAAATGGATGTTTAACAAACATAAGTTTCTAAAAGATTGAGATCAGTTTTAAATCAGAGGATTTAACTTTTATGTTCTGTTACAGATACAATGGGTAAAATAAGTATTGAACATGCCACTGTTGTGCCATTTGCCATGATCATGGTGTTGGGACATTGGGAAAAAAGTGTCCATGTTTCATCTTGACATGATGACCAGAGAAGAGAACGCAAGTTTGGTGAATAACCAGCTATAAGGTCTCTCCAACCACCCCTTTTCGTCAGAGAAAACCACAGAGAAAACCAGATTCCTCCTCTTTTCCTGTTCTCTTGCCCATGAAGCTGGGGTCCTCTTTGGCAGGATCTCCAGCAAGATAGAGATCCAAGGCCCAGAGGGACCCAGATCTCTACAATCATCAAGGAATCATCATGGTGACCTTTCAGAAACAAACTGCTGCAAAACAGACCTTTTGCAACACATTTCTCTTGAGTTACAGAACTTATAGAGCCAGACTGGATGAGCATCCAGACTTGGAATGAGCCACTGAGACAAAGAGGACCCCTGCTGTGAGCCACTGAGACAGCGATAGCCTGCCTTGCTGTTAGCCTGCCTGCCTGCTAAGCTCCTGCTGGATGGAAACCCAACTTTCCAAATGAACATTGACAAAAATGTTTGCAGGCCTGGCACAATTAGGGACAGAACAAACACTGTGTCTTTTGAGCTAACAGCTAACAGGGTGCACTGCATGCTTCACTATGCTATACAGAAATATGTGTTGAGCTGTTGAAGCTTGCACAAGCTTTATGTCACTAAGGGTATGATATAACTTTAGTGTTCATATGTTCCTCAAATGCTCATTACATTTCGATTACCAAGTATGACCAAGAGTCATTTAGTGGAATCCTGATGTCTGTTCGCTGCTAGCTATTTCAAAGAGGGTAAAGAGTAATTTGACTAAAGGTTATTGGTTCTTGATTGAGCAAATCATTTAATAAAACATTTTTTGGCCAAAGAATGTTTTATTCACCTCATGGATTTACATTGTGAATTGGTCTGAAAACATTCCAATCTCTCTAAATTTGTGAAAAGCTAATTTGATCATATCCCAAATTATTCCAGATAAACTTTGGTTTTCAAACACAAAATCCATCTTAAACTGTAATATGCTTTTCAACCATGTTTGCCCTTCCTCTTTGTACATAGTAGTTTAGTTTAGTTTAGTTTCACTAGTTTTAGTTAAGAGCATTAAACTGAAATATGTTTGACTTGGAGCTGAATGATTTTTGTTAATAAACTTGTATTTTGAAAAGAAGTTGTGGTGAATTTATTCCACAGAATTAACTGTTTGACAATGATTAGTGCTCAAATCACTCTTTCATTTAATGTTCTAACACACAGCTAGTAGGGCGTGTGTTCATAAACAGCATATAACATCCAAATGATATCTGATTAAATAAAATATTCTCCACCCCTACCTGGAGGGCAATAAACATCTTCAAGTATCAGAAATATAAATTCCCAGCTGGCTGGGAATTGAATAGAACATAAAATCACAACACCACCATTTTTCTCAGTACATATATTTCTAGAGGTGCTGTTGACATGATATTTTCACCAGATGTTGGTAACAATCCATGAATACAAATAAATCAAAACATAGATGTCCAGAAATGAAGTTATGTGTAATAAAATGAAATAACACGTGGGAAAAGTATTGAACACGTGAAGAAAGGGCGGTGCAAAAAAGGAAGGAAAGCCAAGAGACACCAGCTGAAATCTTTCAGTAATTAGTAAGCAATCCTGCCCCTTATCAGTGCAGCTGGTTCAGCTGGTTCAGTCCCAAATGATGGCCTATAAAAAGGTGTCTCTGGTATCACATTTGAAACATCTTATGATGGGTAAAGAGCTTTCTCAAGACCTTCCCAATCTTACTGTTGCAAACATTGATGGCATTGGACAAGGATTTCTAAACTTCTAAACGTTCCAATGAGCCCTTTTGGGACCATAATACGGAAATGAAAAGAGCATAATTTCACTATAAAATGAACATGAAGAAATATGTATCAGAAGACCCGTGGTCCTTTAACACATGTCACTCCACCACTCTTGTTTCCCCTTTCCTGTCAACCCACTGTACAATAAACAAGCCATTAGTAAAAAACAAAGAAGAGTTGTCTAAGAGTCAAAGACCACTTGTGGAGAGCATTAGAAAGTCCTACTGTAGAACTGGCAAACTTCAAATAACTGAAGGGACGATGAATGGAAAAATATAGAGATGTTATTGACCAAAATCTGCTGACTTCTACCAGGATGACGATGATGAAACGAAGGTGGACATTTGAGTAAGACAATGACCCCAAACACACAGCCAACTCATTTCAAAGAAAGAAAATAAAGCTGCTAGAACGGCCCAGTCAATCACCTGAAATCTATGGAAAGAACTAAAGAAGAGTTCATAGAAGAGGCCCATGAATCCATCAAGATTTGAAGACTTGTGTGAAAGAATGGGCCAAAATCACAGCTGAGTGATGAATGTAACTAATTTCTTCAGACAGGAGGCGTCTTGCAGCTGTGATTGCCAACAAAGACTTTAGTACACAGAATTAAATAAGTTTCAGTAAATGTGTTCAATACTTTTTCCCTGTGTCATTTCACATCTATGGTTTGATTTCTGTGTCTGATTGGATTGCATGGATTGTTACCAACATCTGATGAAAATATAATGTCAAGAAATATATTTACTGAGAAACATGGTGACGGATTCAATGATTATTTTACCCGCTGTACCTAATACACTTTGAACCCAATAGGACCACACAGCAACCTTTAGGCCTACACTCCCACTACCTGCTGTGTAATATAATGGGTAAGTAGTAGTGATTATAAAAACATTTCGAGTAATTAAGGATAATTTTAGAGAGGGAAAAATACAAAGAATTTATTCTTAGAAAAAAAATGTTATATTAAAAAATGCTCTTACAGTCCTACCACTGGAACAAATCGCAGCAATCGGCTGACTTTTCATAAAAACAAACACTAAAGAAAAAAACACAATTCCCACATTTTTTCAGCTCTGCTTAAGAGCGGTTTGGCTTAAAAGTATGTATAAAATCAGATCTGAAGATATATCAGAATTAAATTAGTTATCAAGTTAAAAAAAAAAACTATTAAAAGGTTGATTTTAATAATTGTCATTCTGTGTTTTTTAAGATTTTCTTAACATAATAAAATGTACCCTTTGAAAATAATCACATTGCCTCTACATAGAAAACAGCTAATAAATCACATTCCTACAATAATAAACTCATTATAAATGTAGGGCTGTATTTAAAAAGTAGCAAATAATGATAATGATAATAATAATAATAATAATAATAATAATAATAATAATAATAATAATAATAATAAGCGATTGGCAGTTTTAAATCTGCAGTTTAAAATCTGTTTTACATTACAAAATAATTAAAAATAGAAATAGTTTATTTTGTATATATAATAACGTACATGTGAAATTAAACAGGTAACTTTCTCAAATTCCAACATGCTAATCTCACAGAAGGCCTGAAGGCTGAATCTGCAACTTAAAAAAAAAAAATTTAAGTAAAAAAAAAACAAACCAACAACAGATGAAGCCAAATAAGGCAGAAGATATAAAGTGTTGATTTACTGTCGCCTGTACACGCATAAAATATAGCAAAATACTGCAAACTCTGAATGTTGTACCTGACAGATGTTGGGATATAAATACAGAATCAGTGTTTCATTTAAAAAGGTAATATTTCACATAAAAAACATCCATCTTTGGAAAACATTTCAGTTATAAAACATCCACATTTAAGTGAACGTATAGAGAAATAAGCAGCAGCTGAAAGGCTCTAACTGGTCAGGCAGTTTCCTTCAAAATTTTATGACAAGTTTCTAACAAACAAAATAAAAGAAAAAAAAAGACAATTTCTGGGTTTTAAAATAATACTGATCAGAAGATCTGAGCCTCAATCAGACATGTTAGTTTTCCTCTCCCTTACCAGGGTTCCAGAGAAGCTGCACAGCTATGCTGACTCTTCTCCTCTCTCCTCCAGAAACACCTCTAACATAGTCGTTTCCCACCCTGGTGTTTGCACATTGCCGCAGCCGCAGCTCTGCGATCACATCATCCACCTGTAACAACAGGAGCCACAATCCTCATTAAACATGAGATTCTTTTTTTTCCCCCTGTCATCAATCCTTGAGCAGCCTGATTTACCCTCTGGTCCCTCTGGGCCTGTGTGAAGTGAGTGGGGAGCCTCAGTTTGGCAACAAAGCATAGGGTTTCCCTCACAGTGAGGTGAGGAAGGAGCCGGTCGTCTTGGCGAACGTGAGCAATGCTTTTCTTCACTAGCTGGGGCGTGTTGCGCTTCCCGTTTATCAGAACCTGACCGGAGGTCATTGTGCCACCCTCGTCCCTGCAGGTTATGATATCCAGCAGAGACGTCTTTCCACAGCCTTAGAGAACAATTAGAGCACAGAAAAGATAGAAACCAAACTTTAGTCAACAACAAAAAGAAAAAAGGAAACAAGACAGCATGAATAATGAAGACAATGAATAGGGCTTCTGTTTGGTTATGTGGAAATCCAACATTAAACAGTTTAAGAATTGCTGACATTAATACATTTGGTCTCTGCTTTTAGGACTTAATTTATCAGGTTTGGTTAAAAGGTTGTCAGGTTAACATATGTACACATTTTTTATTTCATTTTCTCATCTTACTGTCAGTGTGTTTTAATGAACAATGAAAGGTAGAGCATAATTATGAAAAAGGGAGCCTTGGTTTTCTTTTCTTTAAACAATTAAAATATCTAAAAACTGTGGCATGATTTGTCTGCATCCTCTCTCAAGTTAATGCTTTTTTGAAACATATTTTGCAACACTTCGTGCTTCAAATAATTCAGCATGTCCCTGCTGCTTGTAGAGATGGATCTGTATTAAAGATTTTCCTTTCTTTTTTGAAAAATCTTTCTTTCTTTCTTTTTAAATATCTAAACTGGATTTTCTCTTGTTTTTTTTTGCAGAATTGCTCGAGCTTTACTCATAAAGCATCAAGTTTAAAGTCAGATACCACAGATTTTTAATTGTTTTTTGTCTGTAAATGTCTGAACATTTTTTCCCCCCCCAGTATTTACCTGTTTCAGTTCCAGCCATCCTCTAATCAACCCCTATCACCTTCCTTCTCCCTATCAAAAAATTATCCCCACAGCATGCTGCTGCCACCAACGTGTTTCATTGTGAGTGAATTGAGGACGATGCGTATCATCGGTTTTCTACAAATTAAAAAAAATCTGATTATAATTGGTGGTGCTTTATTTAATTCAGAGGTTTCAGGGTTTTTAGTGTACTTTTTATTCCTTGTGTTGTTCTATCCCCTAAAATCTCAAAATAACACACTGAAAATGGTTGTTGGAACCTAAAAACTGAGGTAAAAATACTTTTCAAGCTATTGTACCATTTGGTATCTGTAAATACAAATTTTAAAGGCTTTATTTAAATAAATTAGACAACTGTAATAAATATTTTTAGAGAGTTACCTACAAAAAGACATAATTACACAGTCTAGAATAAGCACATCAAAACAAGGGTTATAGGGATTGAGTGCAGATTTTTTTATTTTTTCCTCGTAAGCAGAGGCACCCATATTAAGCATTTCTTCTATATTTTGTAAAGTTTATTCAGAAACTTTTAAATGCAGAACAGGATTATTCATGGTGAGTTAATTTTACTTTGAAAGGCTAATTTTAATCTGAATAAAAATAAAACTACATGCAATCCAAGCAGTAAGGTTTTCATTGAAACATGGATGAGAAAGCAGATGCGCTGCTATAAACCAGCTGAGATATTTTGTGTTCTATTTCATATGTGGAACAAAAACCTTTACTAAAACAGGACATACAGTCTGTCCTCTAAAAATATAAACTATTCATTAAAATCCCAGCTTGTTAATATGTCACCTGAGCTGCCAATGACTGCCAGCATCTGTCCACTGCGGACTCGCAGGCTCAGGTCGTTGATGGCCGTCTGCTTGTCCCCTTTTAACTCCCAAGGCAGTTTGAACTCTGACAGCTTCTCATACCAAGGAATCTGGGCTGCCGTGTCCACCTAAAAGCACAGACACTCAGTTATTCCTGGGCTTAGATGAAGAGCTTCAGTAAAAGGCTGGAAACTGATTTCAACCTCATAGTGTAAATTGGTGACTTCCAGCTCGTTGCACTCTCCGCTGTAGGTGAAGTACAGACTGCTGTCCTCTTCAGACGAAAACAACTCCACATCTGCTTGCTGTTACAAAGGAGGAGGCAATTCACTCTAAGCAGCAGTTTCTCTTCAATTAATGTAATTATCAAAAAAAAAACTAATTTTTTTAGATATATGCATTCAAAGTGTTTGAACAATGAGATAAACTTTTCACTGTTTCTATTTTTTCAGTTTTTTTTTTTTTTGCAGAAACCTCCAAATCCATTTGTTGGTTTGAATCTTATCAAATTGTCTTGGCGTTGTATTTGCTGTGATTTTTATAAAGATCAGACTAAAATCTTCTGTCGCATCACAGCCAAAATTGACAGTGTTTTCTTTTTTTCCCATGAATAGGTACATTTTCCATTGATTTGAACTGATAGGTAGGACTTATTATTTACCACAATGTAACAAGATGAGTTACATTTAGAAATAAGAGGAAATAAATATTATATTGTTTAAAATGTTTGATATGTAATTATCTTATTTTAAGGGTTGAAATAGTCATTACCACCGGCAGATCATGTTGTAATAAAATCGAGGGCAAATAGAATTATTTTAATAATTTTTAACTCATTTTTAGATCGGTTTTTGCACTGGCTGTTAAGTGTTTCCACTTAAGCGCACATGTTCTGCTTACATTGGCATGCAGTATCTGAGTGCAAACAGTTGCTAAAGACCCACACTGATTCATAAGTCCACTCGAAATTAAAACTTCATAAAACAACATGTATCTTAAGATTCATCGTTTCCAAAACATGTGACATTTTTCGCCTCATCATTAACAAATGTTTAATAATTAGCCACATATTGCTAAGGAAATAAAGTATAAATAAATAACATTAATCCTAAAGTTGCTCTTTTTTCACCACCCTTTATCCAAATTTAGAAGAAAACCAAACTGAATATGGAAGCACATAAAAGGACAGTGGGAAGCGAATCAACATGAAGTTAATGTGAACGTTCCTAATAAAAGGAATATGTAATTTCATATGATTAGATTTTTCTGTCCTGACTGACCTGGGAGAAGCTGCTGTGCCTACGAGCGGTTTCTGCATCCATGATGAAGCGAGCTCGGTTTATTAATCCCTCAAACACAAAACTCCAGTCCAGCTGAAGATCTCTTGTAGCTCCTTCTTCTCCAAGACATCCAAGTTCATGTCGTGTCACTGCTTCATCTGCGTTGTCCTCAGTTATTTCTTATGTAGAAGCAGCCCCATAATGTGAGGACTAATGGGAGACTTGGAGTCTGTGAATGAACTTAACCTGCCTGGGTTTTTTCCCTTTCTATGTCTTTGCACAACTCCAGATCAAAGTTCTCAGAGATAACAGGTATTAGCAATGTTTTTATGGTTCTGAGGGACACCATTGACCCTGCGCTGTCGCTCTTCAGAGCACAGCTGGACAGAAACACAGTCTGAGACCTCAGGACTGTTGAAAGATTGATATTCAGTTGTCGTTTGGAAGAAAAGATCGAACAGAAACATGGAAAGTTTTTATTCTCTGGAAGCGGAGGAACCCCAGAGCAGGAGTAAAACTGCAGGATCACTCAAGTTTGTGTCCGAGGCGCAAGGAGATGTGTGGAGAGAAGGTGGAGAGGGCAGATCAGAGCCGTCCTGCTCTCTCAGTGTCAGAAACATCTCCTACACTGTCAGGTAAACAGCATTTGAACTGAAAATCAGAATATATGGAGGTTGTTTCCGATTCAAAATACATTATTAACACTATAAAATATATTCAGCAGCAGATAAAGGTTTATGTGTATCTTTACAGCATGGAATATCTCCTATGTCTGTCTGTAGTGAGCGTGTTGGACCATGGTGGGACTTATCCTCCTGCAGGAAGCGGTGGACTCGTCAAATCCTCAATGACGTCTCCTTCCATGTAGACAGTGGGCACATTATGGGTATTCTGGGTAATTCAGGTTCGTGCACAGGTCAAAAGAGCAATGAGTTCAGTAGTAGCTGTCTGCTCTAATTTCATCAGATGTGGAAAAAAACTGATATAGGTATTCAAAGAATGAAAAAAAAGTGTTGAAGAAACACAGCAATTTCCTTTTACTGACACAAAAAACTAATTAGCATTGCATTTATTATGTTTTTAACATGCAGTTTCATCTGAATTTCTTCTAATATAAAGAGACAACTGAAGTTATTTACACTATCAGCTGTAACTCAGTCAGGCACTGTGCTGCTTCTCATCATTCACATACAGCATATAGTACATAACCCCCTGCAACTGTTTCATTAGTGCTATTTTACAATCTAGTCCATATAGGGTAGCCAAACACAAACTGAATAATTAACAAAATAGATATTTCTCAAATTAATAAACAAACAAGTTGATGAAACTAAACAATAAGAATGTCCGTAAAATCACAATAAAGGACTGTATTCATTTGCTTTTACGGATTTTTTAACCGCATTTATTAGAGCTGCGTAGGTAAGGGAGTTCTGACAGCTCCACAGAAGAAAATGGGCAATATTTTAGAGAACTATTTAGAGAAAAGAAATTCTGCTAAAAAAAAAAAAAAAAAGATTAGGTTGTTTTTTTTTACACACTTTTTTAACAGAAAAATCAAGAAGAAATTTACCTTTTCTTTTTACACAATATTGTTTTTGCAGGCTACAACTTAAGATGAATTAGTAAAAAAAATAATTAAGATTTTTACTTATATGTTTTACCTATGCATAAATATGTCCTCCTGTACTTGTGAGCATCAGGAGCAGAAAGAGAAAACAGGTGGATTTCATTCCTCTGGCTCTGGCTGTGCTTAAAGTCGAATCACGTGCTCTATGTTGATCATCAATGATTGTGTTTTATTTGGCTTTATGAAGGTTCGGGCAAAACAACCCTGTTGGATGCCATTGCTGGTCGGATTGGAAACGTCGGCACTCTGCTAGGTGAGGTCTTCATTAATGGCAGAAAACTCAAGAGAGAAGAATATGAGGACTGCTTCTCATATGTCTTACAGGTAACACGGGAAGATCAGGCCTCAGCATGTGGACGCAGAAGTCAGCTTGATGTCTGATTATTAAATTTAATTTGATTGCTACACGTTTTTCAAATAATTGACCTAGAAAGGACAATTACTTCTTCTATTATCAGTTCATTACAATACAAACTTAAAACTGCCTCTGACCTAGAAAATATTAACAGATTACAAAATACAAATAATTAGAGCTGTAGATTTCAAAAAAAAATTTTTGCAGTACTTATTTTGCAGAAAATAATTAATTCATATATGTTTTTTTTAAACTTTTGATCTAACATCCCATAACAGACAGCTTTGTCCCCCACACCTATATAAATACAGCTACCTCAACTACCTCATCTTGTGGTGGCATCCACATATTTCTCATAAAGCTGTGTTTGTTGTATTTTTGTGTTAGACTTTTTCATTCCTGAAAAGACAGTAGATGTTTTTGAATTCAGGTCAGGAGCTTTCTTTCTTTTTCTTTTCTTTTTTTTTTTTTTTGCTTTATAAATTTGAGTGACATCTGCTTTAGTTGAGGGACATGTTCTTCCATTTTTTTCTTCTGATTTATGAAGAGTCATATAAATGGAGCTCTGTGTCAGCCTTATTTGTTCTCGAGAGAAATGGGAAATAAAAGTTTATAAAAAAAAATTTACTTAAAAAGGTTTAAATGTATTTTATAAGACTTGAAAGAGGCATAAATACTTTTTGCACTAGTTGAATATATTTAAATGATTTTTAAACATCTTTACTGGTAATTTCAGAACTTGCAGAGGATGCTTAGACTCCTTTCTATTTTAGATCAAATACACAAAGACACGCACCCTATGGCTACATCTCCAAATAGGCCGCCCTGCCCTCTTTATGAAATTAACCAAAGACCCCTGATAGCCTCCTCATACACTTAATCTCTCAATGAGAGCTGCTCATGTGTGTCCAAAGCTTGAATTAAAAACTGTAGTTATAAAAACTGGCTTTGCTTCATTTCAAATCGTCTCTCTCTCCTCTCGCCGATAGCAAATCCTTCTGTTCTCTAAGCTTTGTCATTAACTTCCACAGCTAAGCCATAGATGAGGAGGTGATGTGAGCTCCTGATATTAAAGTCATTCGGAGGAGACAAAGAGGAGGACTGGGACCAGGGGCTGTTCCATGTGTTAATTGAAGCAGGCAGTAGGTTCAGCTGCTTGAAGTGTGCGAGTCTAACAAGGTTATTTGCAGAGAGGAGCTAAGACTCTTAACTATTAGTTTAAAAAAGTGGGACCATTAACAGTACATTTCAACAAAACATCTTTAACTTTATTTGATTCAAATCAAGTGTCTAGATATCACTTCTATTTAGACGCAGCCGTCAAAAGAGAGAAAAGTACCTTGAGATATTCAGTTAGTGTTGATAGAAATTACCCCAACGCATCACATTTATTAGATTCAATGCCAGCACAGGAACACCATAATATGTTATGCAATACCTTCATATTTAACGTCCTCCACAGTGGGGTTGGCAAATATGTTATTTAATCAAATACCTTTCGGACTGTCATATATTGTTCTGTGAACTCATGCGAGAGTGGCTGTGTGTTAGAAAAACAAATACAAGGGTGAACTCAGCACAAATCATGGTCAAATAGATAACTCTGCACACATATGGACAAAATTTAAAACGCCCTTTCAAAATATACAGATTTATTGATAAATATAATCATAATCAACAATGACATGTATTATAGTATTTGAAACAGCTTGTTTGTTGAAACGTCATTTGTTTGTTAATAAATTGCTTTATAGAGCATACCATACCATTTATATAAAAATGGAGGAATAATTTACTTGAAAAGGAGCATCTATTCATACAGGCATTTTTACCTTTCTGCCTCATTGAATCTCTGTTTTGTGTCCTCGTATGATTTTAAACAGCCTGTTTTCCTTGCTGTCTGGTTTTCAGAGTGATAACTTGCTGAGTTATTTGACAGTGGAGGAGACTCTGACTTACACTGCACAGCTGGCACTACAGAAACACTCAGCAGATGCCATCAAGAAAAAGGTGATTTTTATTGAAGACTTTTGTGGTTAGTTTTTTTTTTCTTTTCTTTTTTTACTTTGAGCAAAACTTTCAAAGACCCAAGATGAAAATAGCAAAATAAGAAAGCTCTGGTTATGATCTATGAAACATAATTTGACTCTTCCGAAGAGATAAACTCTAATTTTTATTTTGATTCTTAAAAGAGCTAAATGTTCTGCCCCTCAAATAACGAAGAGCTATCTGGCATGGATAATCAGTTTATATTGTCAGTAATAGCTGTTCTCTGACCTTGACCTGTGGTCTACATGTAGGTGTTGGCAGTGATGGCTGAGCTGAGTCTGAGTCATGTGGCACACAGTGTTATTGGAGGTCGAATTTTCCCAGGGATTTCTGGTGGTGAGAGACGGAGGGTCTCCATCGCCAGCCAGTTACTTCAGGATCCAAGTAAGTTTTTTCCACTGTTAGGAAATAACCTAGCAGAGTACCAGACATTTCTCAAAGGTCTGAAACAGATTAAAATCCAAATGGTGAAATGGAGAAGAAATGGAAATTATTCCTTAAATCCTCTCAGATGATGCAAGGGTTAACTAACAAATGCTTATTAAAAGGAGGATTTTAGGTTTTAAATTGGATTTTGATAAGTGTTATTATTGGCGATTAAATTATTTTAATTTTAATAAAGTAATAATTAGTTATTTCATTTATTGCAGGGACAGTCACATATGTCAGAGTTAGCCAGAAGGCTTTTTTTCCACCTGCAGTTACTATAAAGATGCAAAAAGAAAAGTAGCCTACTCTAAAAAGATAAGAGTAAAACTATATATTTACATCAGCAATTTATTTCTAACAACATTTACCACTTTCTAACAACGTTTTGGTAATAAATCAACCAACACATTTTGGTAAATGGTAAATGGCATGTACTTATATAGCGCCTTTATTCAAGTTAGGAGACCTGACCAAAGCGCTTTACACTACATTCATTCACCCATTCACACACACACTCACACACACTGAGGGTGGCAAGCTACATTGTAGCC